TAAATATTAAATCATCAAGAATACCTTTAAAATGTATCGAGATATAGGCTGTGAAATTTAAGGTATTAATTTTTTTTTTCAAATGTAGATCTGCTTGATTTCTATTGACGGCAGCCCATATAGTAGATTTTATTAAAATTTTTCATTCGGAAAATATTGGCCTGATTTTGCTCGTCTTTTATGTTCATTTACGCTCATTCATTTTCTTTTTGGAAATTTTCGGACTTCTAAATTCCTACTTCTTAAATCAGTCCGCGTTATACGCTTCGGCAAAACCTATATATATTTTACGAGTCAAATTGATCCCTAGCAGAATTTTAGGGTTAGGGCGGGCCGGAATTATGTTGATGCCGGCCGGGTTTTTTAATTGATCAATTTGACCCGGGTCAAGTTTAACTTGACCTAAAAACCAATTTGACCCATAACATATATGGGTAGTTTGCTAGGAAAATCAATGCTTGGCACTTACTTTCAAGCGATAATTTTTCTAGCAAATGACCCATATATGGACCTTTGCTAGGAAAATCATCATCCGACGTTTGCCGATCGGGCTAATTCAAACATTTTAAACCAACATACCGCTTCTTATTTATGTTGTAAGTGGGAATAGAATTTAAGTGGATTTGGAATTGCCTAGTTAAATTAGGGTTAGGGTTAGGGTGTACATGTGATAAAATCCACCCCAAAACAGGGGTTTTATATATAAATTCCGAATCCACTTAAATTCCGTTTCCATTTACAACATTTACATGTCAAACATTTTTTGCTCTTATTGATTCAATAGCTTATCGAATGAACATTTGACAAAATTGATTTACATGCAAATAAGTACCAATATATTGGTTTGAATTTGTCCGAATTAGCCCGATCGGAAAATGTCGAAGGGTGATTTTCCTAGCCCAATATATATTACATTTTTTTTGTTTTTACCGAGGGAAAGCAATCGAATTGGTCCAGCCTTTCTAGTAATAATTCTTATATATATATATGATTATTTTTATTTTCATGAGAAAAAATAATCTTATTTTTTTTGAAAAACAAGGAAATTTATGAGAATTTAGCTCTTGATGTACAAAATCTACATTCACAACGGTATCCAGGATACAAGTACAAACCTTCTCCCCCTCGTGCAAAACCATCCCCAGCTCACAAATCCAATAATGGACATTACCAACCTTACATAATTCCACAAAAAACACTCGTTGTACCAACATCATTTCAGCCGATACCTCTAAATCAGACCATCCATCCAACCACAGATTCGTTTCTTTACTTTACACAAGAAGATATTGATTTGTTTAACTTATACTGAATCTTTACTATAAATCAAATATTTACGTAGCATAACAAATAGTATTGTGCTTTTTTTTTTAAGATTCTTTTTAAGCCCTATAAAAATTTTTTTTAAGTAATCTGACGTAAAATGCACACCATTATTTCTGCGTTAATCCGTCTTCCTAAACATAATTGTGTCATATGTTACATAGTATAAAATACTATAAATACTGTAGTATGGTACGTATTATACTTCTAAATATGATCCTATATGCGTATATAAGTACATACAAAGCATTAAAAAGCATATATGAATTTCGATTAATAAAGTAAGAAAATCACATAAATAGTTATGATTACAAACGCGTGATAAAGTATTGTGGCTCAGTTCAATATATATCTCGTTTTAGTAGGTTTTGATATCTAAAATAGTGCTCTCCAAAATCAAATCAAAATTTGAATTTCAATCAAATATTTGAACAAGCTTAAATATTTGAATTTCAAAATTTTTAATTTAAAAATATATTATATGATTTTATAAACTTAGGAAATAATAAAATCTTTCTATGATCACTTCTTTGGGATATAAAAATGAATGATTATATAGAAACTAGCATATAACCCATGCCTTTAGTATGAGATTAAAGTTGTTTGATAAATCTAACCGAAAGTTAACACAAAACATAGATATTAAAATATTTGTTAAAAAATAACCAAAACAAACACCTGTTATTAAAATAGTAAATATAATATTAATTTTTTACTATTACTTAAATATATTATTTAATAATTACTATTAAGTTGTGGAGTCGCCCATTTTTAAATTACCTATTATTAAAAATATGAATCTACCTATTGCTTAAACTAAAAATCTATCTTCTAAAATTATAAGTCTATCTACTATTAAAATCATGAATTTACCTAATATCAAAATTATAAATTCATTACTTATTCACTATTAGTATTTTTATGAACTGAACTGAACTGAATTTTTGGTTAAATTCAAGTCTAGTTCAAAATTGAACTGAACTTGAACTTAAATATTTTTTAAAAAAATTCAGTTTAAGTTTAACATCAAGTTTAGATTCAGTTTAAGTTCATAAATTTAGAGTTTAGTTTAGGTTTAAGTTCAAAGATCTGCAAATTTAAAGTTTAGTTCAGGTTTGATTCTGAATCTAAATTGAACTGAACTGAATTTAAAAACACTATCCATTACTAACATTATAAATAAACTCATCTTCTATTGATATTCAAAATTGTAATTATATTTCACCTATTATTGAAATCACAAACTATTGAAGTTATAAATCTTATTACTAAAATCATAAATCTTACACTATAAATTTTTTAAAGTTATATAATTTCTTATTTACTGCAATTATTATGTGTGATCTCTTTATGTTTCTATTTTCTGTGCTAAATTATATCAATCATTGTGATGCAGATCTCTGATTGACTAATCAGATTTTAAAATTCTGATATAATGTAACATAACCAAGAAATTTCAAAATCAATATTTATTTTGTCTGAAATTGCTTATTTTGTCAAAAATTGTATAAAAACTACCTTTAATACTCTAACAAAAATTTTTCTTGAGTGATTTAGCTATATAATCATCTAATTTCTAACTTCATTCTAAATACTAACCCAAATATTAATGAATTTAACAAATTTTAAAGTAAAGATGCAATCTCTTTAGGAGTAAAGAGTAAAGTAGTGCAGTATGGCAATGCAAATTAGAACAGACGTGTAGGAATCAAGAGAGTACATATGGTTTGTAAAAGAAAAACTTCGTCAAGCCCATGTTACTTTTATTATTAACCCAACATGAAAAAAAGGACAATACGCACTAGCGTCACCCTAACCCTAATCATTAAAAGTGGTTACGTACTTACAAAAATTAAATTTTACAAGTCGAATTTGTACTAGCGTACAGTACTACTTTACTGAATACCTTCTCTTTAGTGATGTTGATCGTGTAATGGCAACAAACCACGTATTTTGCATAACATGGCGATCGTCATAAGATCAAATAAAATGTTAAAGGTATGAATAACTCAATTTAAGCATGAATCAGTTTGAATCTCTAATACGTTTAAACACTTATCATAACGTAAGTTTTCAATATTCAATCAAAAGACTTATGATCTAGAAATTATATTTTTATGATTCCATATTTATTATTGAAAGAACAAGACCTTTTTTTATTAATTTCATAAATTCGAAAGTTAGGTCATTATTATTTTTACTCTTATTTATATCAATATGAAGCAATGTTATCATTATTGGATATTGCAGTATAAGTTTAATGGCAATTACATTAAAATCGACCTAAGTAACTTTTCAACTGGCGGAGATTAAAAAATAATGTGCTAATTGATCGATGCACATATACCTAGTGATCCGACCCGTCTAAAAAATCTCCACCTGGGTCACCCGACGGGTGGACTATAAGTGGATTTACTTAAAAAGAATTTTAATTTTGTAAATAAACAAAGTGCGTAAAAACACAAATTTAGGGTTAGGACGTTAACGTTAGAAGCTATAGCCATAGACTGTTGCTCATTATATGTAAAATTTCACCCGGCATTTTTAATTAGTACAACAAGGTCGATTTAAACACTAGTTTTTTTAAACACTAGTTTTTGAGTATTTTCGCTTTTTTCTTCTTTCGCACGCGTTCGGAATTCATGTCGGGTTGATCCGGAACGATCAAAATTCGATCTCACTGATTGGTTATTTCCTTTTTAGGAGTTTGTTACCGGCACAAATAAGTATAAGTCATCCGGGTGAAAATGTGTGAGACACCGACGGGTCACCCGCGGGGTCACCTGGGCTATTTAAATAGCTACCCGTACGTGCATAAAAAAAACTTCAAACCAAAAAAAGTCGCATTTTCAGACGCGAACCCAAACTTAAACATAAGTTTAGTTCAGTAAGTTTCCAAATATGGTTGAAATTGGTAATATGAGTTCTAACTATAAGCCTAATCCGAATTTGATTTGAATATATTAGAACGTAATTATTAAATTCCATCCAATAGAGTATTGATGGTAAAAATTTAGAGAAGGTGGATTCGGTTGGAAAGTTAATGGTAGTGATTATAATTATGTAAAAGCGCGTAAACCATCTAGCATCGCATCGTTGCACTCAAGACACTGGCCAGTTCTAAGAAAACAATTTTGGTTTTTTAAAAGAAGTTAATATATTGATTTTACAGATTATCTAAAAGTTTATTGAACTAATTCATTGTCTAAATTTAAGTTTAAAGGCCTTATTGAATGTAAATTAAAGTTTTATAAGCTAGCAATATATGGAATAACTCTAAATGCAAAAACAAATGAATCTTGATAGTATTTCAGTACGCTAATAAGAGAGAATTTGCATGGAAGACTAAATTACAAATACGTATAAGATATTGGTCATGCAACGATTAATATCATGAAATTTGTTTTGTCAGAGCAAATGATTGGCTGACATGTGCCACGTATCGGCACGTTTCAGCCAATCATTTGCTCCGACAGAACAAATTTTGTGATATTTATCATTGCATGATCCAATATCGATGTTATCGTGCAATTATGATCATGATTTACGAGTCGTGGTTGGTTAACTGAGTTTTAATTCGAGATTGTTGTGCTTACGTAATAACGTACAAAAAATAACAAGTAAATATATAAGATTCATTTTGAAGCAGGACACATGCCAATTTTCATATATTATAAGACCAATGCACCAATGAAAATACGCAACCTTATCTAGAATGAAAGATGAGTGTGTTTCAAAGGCGCTATTAGAGTGCATCTATTTGCGCAACAGATTACGTAATGTTCATTGACGATCCAAGCATGCTTGACCAATCAAAATTAGCATACATGTAAACAGTTTTAGCATTTTTTTAAAAAAGTTGACCGAAGTTTTCTCGATAATTACCTGATCAAATTCAATGAAATTTTTTTTATTTTAATTCTACGAATCTGTAGGATTAAAATAAAAACAATCCATCGAATTTTGTCGGGTAGTTATCGAGAAACTTCACTTAATTTTGGAAAGAACTGATTCGTCTATCAGTAAATTATTTCTAAATTTTCACGATAACTTCCTAACCAAATTGAATGAATTTGCTTTTATTTTATTTCTCCATATTCGTATAATTAAAATAAAAAAATTTTATTGAATTCGATCAGGAAAACTTCGCTCAAAGTTTTAAAAATTCAACAGCACTTAAATTACTAAGGCTATGCAAAGGTGATTTTTCGGTTTGCATTAAATGACTTTCGAAATTTCGATCGGGGTCAGATTTTTTTTTTGTTAATCTAAATTAATAGACTAAATTTTTATGTAGCAAAATCTTTAATTTCTAAGGCTTTCTTGAAAAAGTATTTTGCTTGTTCAGATGATTTCAAGTTCATTAACTTTTAAATCAGCTAATCATAAGGCATTATAAAACTATATTGAATTTAAACCTATCGGTAACTTACCAAATATAAGAATGACTTGTAAGTAATGAGTATGTACTAATCCGTTATCTATTTTAAAAATTAGTGCGTATTAATAATAAACTTTCAAAACCTTCATTCCTTTCTGAAATAATACAAATTCAGTTGATAAAAATCGGTCAAAAATGGAAATACTAATAGAATGATTTATCTTTATATTAGAGATTTTTATCAGTATGAAACTAGAAAAGACATTCCTAGAATAGACCCGGGATTTACATATTTATCGTAAAACTAATTGTATGTAATTTAAGAA